ATCATGTTAGATTTGAGGTTTTTATACCCCACCACAACCCAGCTGACCTGATCTAACTATACAATCATTTTGAATTGACAATTATTTGGAAGGTACAGTACTCCGCCATAAATATTTGCAAAAATAACAATAGCGGTCACGTCACAGTTAGGTAAACAAGTTTTGACTGTCGTCTCCATGGCACAATCAGGATGACAATGGACATGTATTTAGGAAGGTTGGAAGAAAAACGTGGTTGTCATGTGACATATGTGTGATGACGTCATTGTCGTCTGCATTTACGATGTAGTTTATGTAAACAAAATGGGTCGCAAGGGAAAAGAGGTGCCATCTGATCAGAAAAGTTTTCTTACTGCATTAAATGATGCAGGTTTGATACTAAAAAGTGATATTGTCAAATTGACAGGCATTAAACAGACTACCATATACAGTTTTTTAAAGAGATATGAACATAGGGATGATATTGAATATATTCAGGTATCAAGCAGACCAAAATCCTTTCATGACTGGGACTTAGGCATAATGACATCTTGTGAACCCTTCTTATCTGAGATCATATGCGCAAAAGCTTCCATACTTAATGAGATTTGCATAATGTAGTTGTACATACAAAATCATCATTTGATTTGACAATTTTTGAGGTTCTGTGGTTATTTTAGCACTATAAAAGCAGCGACAAATTGTGAATGAGACCAAATGTCCATAAGTTTTCCCACTTGGTAGGATTGATTGCCATCTAGTATACTGCCATTTTTTTTTACTTTTGAGTTATGAGACTTTGACCAATATGAACCTGTTGTAGCATAATAGCACCTTAGACCAAATGGCTAGATCTTTTTATACTAGTGAGATTGTTTTTCATCATGCATAGTTGAAAAATATAACGAGATGTGGTATGACTTTACCAATGTGAATATATAACAGCTCCAGTTTTTTCAGTGCAATAACTAGAATCGTTCGACCAATGCTTATCAAATTTTAAGATGTTGTTTCTCATTACAAAAAAGAGGTCCAGTTTGATATTCACAAATTTTAACTTTTTCATTACAGGAGTCCTGGCACTGAGTGATAACTTGACAAAGCTTTATTCTATTCATTTCAAATTTTGTGATATGTTATCTTTCATGACAAAATGGAGGTCAAGTTCGATTTTGACCATTTCATTTTAACTTTAGCTGTTAAGGAATGATGGATCTTTATGGATTGGAAAATGGTATTTTAAGACGATTCCGTGAAATTACTTGAGAATGCTATTATTTTTCAAATTTTAATATGTTGTTTCTCATGACGATATGGAACACATGAAAAGGTCAGAAATCGTAATTCAAGGGCAATAACTTTGATAAGGTGTCAACTGATAATTTTGGCAATGCTGATTTATTTGAAGATCTGTTTATGCGAGGGACATAGAAATACCTCGTCCATCCGTCCGTTCTCGTAAGGGCTCTCATGCATACAATACTCGCCAGATTTTTATGAAATTTATATCATTGGTTTATATCTATAGCAATGTCTCAGATTAGATTCCAAAATCAGTTTCAATGAAGTATTTTTGCCCTTAGAAATATAAAGTATATGGAAAATTGCATTGTAAGAGTTCTCAATCCAACATTTCTTGTAGGATTGTTATGAAGTTTATATCAGCATTTATGGAATGAGGGCAAAAATCAAGGCTTATCAATTAATGTTATGGGATTAATGTCCCTTTTGAAATGTGATTTGTATTGAACATTGCATTCTCACATAGTCATTTCTTGTTGGTATTTTATGAACATATATTAAAGGTTTACACCAACTAGGTCTTGGAACAGTGCCAACCAATAAATTTTGCAGGAATTATGCCTCTTGGGTTATATGGAAACTACCATTAATAGCAGTTTCATGTCTCATTTCTTGTAGGATATTAGTGGAAAAGCTAAAATAACCAAAAAATTTGGACAGATGTAGTTGCTGTGTACGTACTTTAGGTTTCACATAAAGAAAAAAATATAAGAATACTAACTCCTATACATTTAATGAGTTGACTGTTGACTTATTCATTTAAAATGTCCTGCAGATAATTTTTGCTATTTACAGTTTCTCTCGTTCTGGCATATAATTGGTTATTGTTCTGATGTCTGACAGTCTTTTTCTAACGGCCAAGGTTAAAATGATTATCAGGTCATGGTCTATCTCCTATGGAATTTTCAGAACAATTTGACAAACTATTTTTGGTGTTGTTGCCCCTGAAATGTAAATTTTTAGCAAATTTCGAAGTTTTGGGTTAATATCTTGAAAACTATAATAGATATATTTCAAAGTGACAAACAATAAAATCTGCAAATAAGTTAACATGGACAAAATCGTCAATTGACCCATTATAGGAGTTATTGATCAGGAATAAAAAACTGTTTTTACCCTTTTTGATTTTTTTTGCAGAAATTGTAATAGATGGAGATAAATCGCAAGATGCAAATATGTTCAGCAAAATATAATCTACAAATAAATCGACAAAGCCGAGATCGTCAATCCACCCCTCACAGGAAATATTGGCTTTGAAAGATGAGTTTTACCCGTTTATGAAGAAACCATAATAGATAGAGAGACACTTTGGATAGCATAAATGTTCAATAAAATGATTTATATAAATAAGTAAACATTGCAAAATTGTCAATTGACCCCTTCTAAGAGTTTTTTGCCCTTGAATAACGATTTGTACCCACATTTTGCTTTTTTGCAGATCCTATAATAGAGAAAAATTGTAAGGAGCATTTTCTACATTTAAACGTGATCATCTTAAAGGCACCTTTTGATAGGATGCAGCTAGTTAAAACTGCGACCAATGGTAATCATTACCTTGTGGATCTGAAATTCTTACTCATTCAATCTGCCAAAGGTGAAGAGATGGGGACCAGATCGTAACCCTTCGCTAGCGAAGCTGCAGCAAAATAAGAACTTCAAGATAAGTCAACAATGCAGAAATTGTCAATTGATCCCTTATAGAAGTTATTGCCCTTGAAATTTGATTTTTACCAATTTTTGCAGAAACCGTAATTATAGATAGAGAGAAACTGTGAACAGCGAAAAAATTCAGCGAACTAAGACCTACGAATAAGTCAACATGGCTTTAATTTACCCTTTATAGGAGTAATGGCCCTTGGAATTGGAAGATGATGTTTACCAATTTTTGCAGAATCCGTAATAAATAGAGAGAAATTGTAAATGCAAAGTTGTTAAGCACAATAAGATCTTCAAATAAGTCAAAATTGTAGAAATTGTCAAACTCCTAAATGTCAAATTGAAAGAGTTGGTATTACTTTGTTTCATTAAAAAGAATAGTGAACGTAGATACAAGTATCTTGTCTTTGGGAGGGATAAATCCTATTTCGTAAAGAATCACTCTGATTCAAACAAAAAATTCTCTAAAACTGACATTATCAAGATGCTTGATTTCTTGATTGACAACATATTTGTTACGTTTGGAGGATGTGTTTTTCAACAAACTGTCGGAATTCCAATGGGAACCAATTGTGCCCCTCTTCTTGCCGACTTGTTTCTTTATTATTATGAGGCTGACTTCATACAGGAACTTCTTAGGAAGAAAGATAAGAAGTTAGCAATATCCTTTAACTTTACGTTCCGCTATATAGATGATGTTCTCTCACTAAATAATACAAAATTTGGTGACTATGTTGAACGAATCTATCCCATCAAACTAGAGATAAAGGATACTACAGATACAGTTAAGTCTGCCTCATATCTCGACGTACATCTAGAAATTGACAATGAGGGTCGGTTGAAAACAAAACTTTACGACAAAAGAGATGATTTCAGCTTCCCAATTGTGAACTTTCCATTTCTATGTAGCAACATTCCAGCAGCGCCTGCATACGGAGTATATATCTCCCAATTGATACGATATTCCCGGGCTTGTATTTCCTATCATGATTTCCTTGATAGAGGATTGCTGCTCACAAGGAAGCTATTAAACCAAAAGTTCCAAATGGTGAAGTTGGAATCATCCCTTCGTAAATTTTACGGACGCCATCACGAGTTGGTTGACCGTTATGGAATAACCGTTTCACAGATGATATCGGATATGTTCCTTATGTCGTAACTACAATACCCTTCCCTTTTCACGAATGTGATCTACCGAATTAGACTATTTACCGGATTTGTAATAACATAAGCAACACGACGGGTGCCACATGTGGAGCAGGATCTGCTTACCCTTCCGGAGCACCTGAGATCACCTCCAGTTTTTAGTGGGGTTCGTGTTGCTTAGTATTTAGTTTTCTATGTTGTGTCATCTGTACTATTATTTGTCTGTTTGTCTTTTTATTTTTGGCCATGGCGTTGTCAGTTTGTTTTCGATCTATGAGTTTGACTGTCCTTCTGGTATCTTTCGTCCCTCTTTTACTCATTTTATAATTTTTGGCAGAAACTATAATAGATAGAGAGCAGCAATATGTAGAAAATATGTTCATCCAAATAACATATACAAGTTGCCTTAAATGAGGACTTTTTGCAAGCTTTTATAATTTTTTTTCCAGATGAGCGATTCATGCTTTTTGGAGCCTTTAGTTAACGTTATATACTGATATTTTCATTTTTCATTTTTTTTAATGCGAAATCATATCGGATAACTTAAAATTCCTTTTACACTTTCCGTGCTGAACTCATGTTGGAACAAAATAGCTTTTTATATCAAAATTTCACCAACATACACGAAATCATAAACTAAGTAGTCGTTAAACCATGATTATGAAAATGAGGTCAAGGACAACGGACATATGACAGACTAACATTAAAGAATATAAGGGTCTGCTTAGAGGATATGAATTATCTTGGTGTTCTTACAAAAGCAACAACATTGTGTCTCTTGTGGCCGACGAAAATTGTTGACGACGCCGGTTTCCCGTATCATAACAGGATGCACAAATTGGTATAGGTTGCAGGAATTTGATTCAACAGAAAATACACCACAAAGCTAATTGTATTTGAAACGCAATAACTGAATCTAATCTATTAAATCAAACTTTATTCAGAACCGCTGAAAATACAAAAAGGCTTCGACAGCTAGCAACCAAACGAAAAAAAACCAACAGACATTTACAGATCAACATATTTAAGCTCCACAATAGAAAAACATTCTGGTACAAAACAATATTTTGCAACTGTTTGATCAAAGCGCAAAATCTTTAATGTATAATAATAATAAAAAATATATTATGTACGTCTGTCTATTCTACTTTGGTCTTGAAAAGAAATATAGCCGAAACATACATTTACCCCGTCACATGAATTTCCATGATATTATAGGCAATGGGTCATAATATCACAAGCGGATGGTCTTAACTTAAGTATCGTAAGCAGGTTTAATAAAACATTTAAAAACAATATTTACTGTAAACTACTACACAAAGGGATCGCGTCATAATGGGAATAATGATAATTTATGTCTTATATATGATAGTCATATTCAAATTCACGTTCTACAGCTTGTAGCATTGTAATTAGAAACTTTCTAAAGATTTTCAAATGTTCGTTATTGGCATACAGTTTCGTGCATTTTATCATATTATACATTTCTAAATCATTTATATTGTCTATAAAACCATGGAATACAGGCGAACAATAAAATGACTCAAAGGGCTGTATGTTTGCGTTTTCTGTTTCTGGAAACGAATCTATCATCTTAACAGTTTTTTTAATTCGCAATTCAAGTTCAATTACCAATGATTTAAATTCGTTTTTATCGGGTGTTTTTAAGTCTGCAATGAACTTAAAAGTATTATCCATGTTATGATATAGCATTCTCAAGCTAAGTGATGAAACATAATTGCAATCTGGTATGAATGTCATGGCTTCTCTATTTAATTGCTCGTTTGTTTTTATGTAGGATATTTTCTGAATTGCAGTGTTAAAGAATAAATTAATTGATAAAGAAATCCGGCAAACATTGAAATTCCTATTTGCATTGTCTATTAATTTTATTTCAGCATCACTCACTTCATCCCACTGTTGTAGAATTTTACTGAAATGTTCAACTTCATAATTATTGTACAAGACGTATTGAAAATCTTCTCTATGTTCAGCGTGTTTTTCATAAGATAACCAGTTCGTATGTAAATCCGTTTCCATCTTTAATTTTCTAAAATGTTCGTACTTTTTGCTAAATGTTGAATCGAAAAGGGTTTTAACTGTCAAATCCGATATAGGATCGAAACGTGTTCCTTTTGCAGAAGTACGTATCGAATATAATAGTTGAAATAAATAACGTCTGTCATCAAAACCAAATAAGAGAAGAAGTCTGTATAAGTAATAAACTTGATTGTGCGACCTTTTCTTCCGATGGTGTTGTAAAAGGAACATATGGTAGTTTTCAAATTTTAACCATTGCCAATCATTTTCGTTAAAACTAGCTAACATTTTATCCTGCAGAATTTTGTATACAATTCTTTTAATCGGATTTTTAAACGTACTGTGTAAACGAAGATCTTGTCCTGTGCATTTTAAAATCTGATTTCTCCTCAACTCTTTGAAGCCTTGTCCAAAATTTGTGAAACATCGCCATATATATGGCAAAGATAGTTCATAGTTTTCAATTAAATTGTAAATTAATATAGTCTCACTTGCTGTATTAGGGCGATGAAAGGCACAATTCATGTTTTCAAGCCACTGTACAATGTTAGTTTGACGATACATATAAGCAAGATATATTGGTGTAACTCAATAAATATCACGACATTTCAAAATATCACCACCCAACAATTCCTTTGATGATTTCATAAAGGACGCCATTCCTTTTGCCGATGCAATATGCATTAATCCAAAATCGTCAATGTGATATGGACAAATGACGAGTTTAAGTTTTGTACGATTGAACCGTAAATTTCCCAAATGCATTAGAAGTATCGACGCTATATCGTCAAAGTTTACATTTCCGTTATGATCAAATAGAATGTCTGCGGTTTCTGTTTTGTTAACTAACTTATAAGAATGAAATTTAGAATGGTTTGTATAGTACGATGGAATGGATCCGTTTCTGGTATAAGGCGCCAACAGGACAGAAAGAGTTAAAGCGCTTTGATTAGTTTTTGATTTCTGTAATACATTCATTCCGTTTACTAGTAAATACTTGACCACTTTTGGGTGTCCGCCGATGACAGATCTGTGAAGTAAATTGTACCCGTCTTTGTCGTAACAGTTATCCAAATAGATACTAGAAAACCTTACAAATAAACGGTCAAGGAAAGAATATGAAGAAAACGTCCATTGTCTATTTCTTTCATTCTGTACTACTTGTGCAAAGGACTCTCACTTCCGTTGCAATATAAGGAACTGTAAATATCCAACATATGCTCAGCAAGAAACGGTGTAGGTGATTCTAAAATCATACTTGAAAGAACAGGATTTGACACCGCGGTATGGAATTCGTCACTTGCATATGCCTTTAGAGTAAGTATAGGATAAATCCTCGACTTTTTAATAGACGTGATTAATAGATCTGTTACATTGACATGTGAAAAGTCTTTTTTAGAATGAAAATCCCTTGACAAATATAATATAACGTACTCGTGTGGTGAAAGGAGGACAGAGAGGTTTGCCTTACAAGAAGATGAAAACAAATCATTCAAACTGCAATTATTAGGCATTTTAAACGGTTCAAAAAATCATGCTCTGGTATGGCTTCAAATGCACTTTCGAAAGAAGTTCTTCCATATATATCCTTTTGTTGTATCAGCTCATCAAACAAGATTCCAATGACTTTCGAACTTTTAGCAAGTACAAACGCAAAATAATTTCCACTTGAGCTTGCATAATGTAAAAAGTTTCTGCCATAAATATCCCTGTGTAGTATGTTATGATTTGAAACTTCAACAACATGTTACATCGATGATGTAAAAGCATCATGACCTAGATAATCTATTTTCACTAAGTCCTCACTATTCAATGGTTGTAAAAAGGCATAATGAAGAATGGAACGGTTTTCGTTATCCATAACATCAGGAATGATGTTATACTTATTGTTTTTGTTAGGATTAAAGAAGTAAAATAGTGCAGTAGATTTACATATAGCAGCAGAATGAAATGGCGAAGAGCCATTATTTGATCTTAAATTTGCACGTAGATACGACAATCTCTTTCCCAGTACAATATATTTCAAGAATTTAATGCTATTGTGACAGAAAGCGTAGTGGATTGGCGTCACACCGTCAATGTCTCTTGAATACCAAGAATAATTTCCTTTCTCACGTGCAAATTGTATAATATCCAAATTATCGTATAAAGCCAGTAAATGTTCAACACCGCCAAATGTTGGACAAAACTGTTTAAAATTTTTAATTCTTAAATGAAAATTGTTCTTTTTAATCAAGTAGAACAAATCTACATCTTTCATGTTGCGGCATCTATGTAATTTATTTGTCCCTACTACAAACAATATTTTAAAAAGTTCCGTTTGGTTGTACTTTACTGCTGTCATTAACGGGATAGACCCATCAAAAGAAGGACAATTCACTGTATAAATGCTTTTTGATATCAAAAGTTTCATAATATCAACGTATCCATTTCTAACCGCTGCATTTAAAGCAGATTCACAGTTAAACACATTATCTAAATTTACAAACCATTTCTCATATTGATGTAGCCCATGAAACTTGATTTGACCCGTTTCTGATGTTAGATTATATTCTAACAACTCTGTGTATATCTCAGGAACACATGGCTGGCACATATCGTCAATATAACCTAAAATCATTTCCACAGCAGCATACTCTCCTTGAAGTGCTGATTGGTAGAGTGAATAAAAATCCGCAAAGGAGCTGTTATATTTAAGAAACAATTTCATTATAGATGTATGGCCATGTTCAGCAGCCAACTGAAAAGCATTTTGACCCAAAGAGTTGTTTAGGTATAATAATGAAATCTGTTTTCTTATATATCCTTTTTGAGCTGATAAATGTAAAAGACTATATCAACAACAATACAGGTATTTGCAAATAAATGAATAGTCACCATTTACCAACCAAAACATCGGATCATGAATGTAGCTGATGTTTGCGCCATTTTCTAAGCACGCTCTGAAGGATTCTTCGTGTTCATTTGCAACTGCAATAAAAGCCGAAAGAGACAGTTCCGCTTCATTAACATTAGATGCGTCAAGTCTGATCAATTTTATCGTTAGTTGCACCGTTTCATACGAATCATACTGTCTTACCACGTTACGTAAAAGTTCCGAGCTAATTATATGTTTTCCTTGATTTAAGGATCTTGCATGAGTCATTAGCCCATCTTCAAAATCTAAGTCTTTAGACAAAGCTACATGATGATCTACCTCTAATAAACTGTTGCTTTTTGTAAGATTTAAGGACTGTAACAAATATTTTGCAAATAGTTTATGGCCTCTCTTAACATCAATATAAAAATTCAAATGTTGCCTGGAAAAATTTGTAAGAAAGTCGACCAACGATTTGTGCTGAAACGAGAGCCTACCATCAGAAATCTTCAAAAAATGTCCGAGTTCGTTTCCAAATATTTGACGAGCTTGCATTTTCGCGTTTGTTTTGATACCAGATACGTCTAGCAATTGATTTTCATCAATGGGGTGTTGTAAAGAGCATAAAACTGCAAACATATCAAAAAATTCCTCAAACAATCCCTTTTCCGAAAATACTCTTTCAAAATTTAGAACATTTATTCTCTCCAAAGTGTCTGGAATGTAATTATAATTACAGGAACCTTTTTGTAAGCAGAAATGCAAAAATAGTTTTACATGAAGAAAGTTTCCACCTGAAACTTTTGTCAACGTTGTTATGTCTTTATCGCTAAGTTTTTTCGTCTTATCAATAAATGAACGAACATCTATTAGGTTTTCCTGTGTATAGTTATCAAGACTGACGGTATCAAGCAGTTTGAATTTGTGTGTTATTTGCTCAATGTTTCGGCTCGTTATAAAAAATTTCACGTTGTCGGGAAAAAATGACATTCTTTTGTACAATAAGTCCTGTAAACTATGGCCTTCTGCTATTTTACATTCGTCAATTGCGTCAATGATAATGATATAAGTTCTTTCTTTCCAGATGTTCTTCAGTGGGTTAAGCAGGGAAAATTCAAGACAGCCGACGGGGTCTTCTCTGCATCTTACACCATAAAGAAAATCTAATGCTCGGTCATCTGACAAAATGGAGTTCCCAAGTTCTGGTATTTGTTTTACTATTCTGCCGACTAAATTTTTAATGAATATATCAGGCTTTGATGAACTTATTACATCATACCTGCACATATGGTAAGCTAATACCTGTTTCTTCAGCTGATGCCAAACACTGTTTTGTTGTGCACAAACAATATAAGATATAATCGAAGATTTCCCAAAACCCATGTCAGCTGTCAGAAGAATTTCTCTGTTTGGCTGGTCTAATTTTGACTCTAATATTGGCAGTAGCCACTGCCTACCGACAATACTTTGGCTTTTCAGCTCTTCAACATATAAATCGAAATCCAAATCACTTTTCCAATTTTCGTCAAACCGCATACTTAAGCATTCTGGAAAAAAATATGAAAGGTATGATGAAGAACTTTAATTTGATCGACTTCATTTACAAAATTGACGACCGACTTTTTAAAATTGAACTACAATCGTTGTAATCGTAATACAAGTATCACAATTTCATGCTACGGTCCCCTGTAAAAACATGGCCGTAAGGATTAATTGAAAATTCGATGTTTCACAGTTTCATGTTGAAGTAGCATTATCTTCTTTACTGACATCTGATGTAACTGACGCATTATAACTAAAAATTAAACTTCTACTTTTTTTATGTATGTATACGAATAAATAGGTTGTTATATATGTTATCAAAAAAGGGATGTATTAAGTTTTGAATGATAGATTAATTAAATATACTAAATAAGTTGATAAAATCGATACCTCTGTTGTATTTGATTTTAATAAAATGCTGTTTATGATCTTCAGCTTAGATACGCGGCTAAGGCCTAGTATGGTGACAAAACAAATCCGATGGTAATTATAAGGAAACGCTTATCAAGTGGACTGAAAAACACAATTGTATCACGTTCCTTGTAAACATCATGTAATGTACTAATCATTTCATAAGTAGGAATTACAAATATGATGTCAATACAAAAATAAGATCACTTTGACTTTTATTTTTCATTTAGATAAATAAAGTGAGGTTTTGTAGCAAGGTAGTTTCATTGCAGGCGGTCATGCTTTTCGAAGACTGTTTATGATATCTTTACACTAAATCAGTTGGATGTGAATTGTTATTGATATTTTAGTCTAGGACATATGGTTTATTAAATACTTCACTGAGTTAGTATTGGCCTAATAAGCTGACAGTAAGTGCAAGTACTCTAACTTCTAAGATCGATACTTAAGTCTTTAGTCTTTTTGTTGGTTGTTTTTTTGTGCTTTGTGTCGATCTAATGAGACAATATAAAAAACAAGGAGATCCTTTTTCAAATGATTTTACAGCGTGTTCTTATGTTGTGCAGTATCGGTACCACTGTCACAGGTTTTAAGATAGGGTTTGGCGTTCACGAAAATGTTTTACCCCGCCACATACTGTATGTACCTGTCCCAAGTCAGGAGCCTGAAATTCAGTGGTTGTTGTTAGTTGCTGTATATCATATTTGTTTTTAGTTTATTGTTTTATACATAAACCGGTTTTTCTTTGAATTATTGAACATTCTGTCATGTCGCAGCCTTGTATAACTTACTGTACGGTATGAGTTTTGTTCATTGTTGAAGGCCGTACTGTGCGAAATAGTTGCTTACATAGATCTGCATTATTTGGTCTCTGGTGGATAGTTGTTCCATTGGCAATCATGCCACATCTTCTTGTCTTTAAATTAACACCCTGTCACATTCTGTATGTGCTTGTCCCAACTAAGTCAGTCAGGAACCTGTCATTTAGTAGTTTTGTAGTTGGTTGCTGTTTGTCATACTTGTTTTTGTTTTTGTTTACTAATTTCAGCATAAATAAGGATGTTGTTCTTCACTTTGTTTCATTGTTTCACATTTTGTCATGTTGGGCCCTTTTATATCTATATGTGATCTGGGTTTTGCTCATTGTTGAATATAAAAATAAGAAGGTGCGGTATGATTGCCAAATCTTCACCAGAGCCCTAAAAACGTAGAAATTAGCAACGTTAGGTCACTGTTCAGCCTTCAACAATGAGCAAAACCCATACCGCATAACAAGCTTTTAAAGGCCCCGAAATGACTGGTAATTCCTTAGACTTCAAGCCATAAAAGATTGATATTTCAATTAGATGGATGGTAATTGTTTTCATGATTAGTTGGTCATGTTCGCCCATATTTTTGGCATGATTGATCGATTCTTTATTAATTGCGTAACATTGTCCAGCAGTAGATATTTCTTGAATACTAGTATTCAGTAGGAGCATACTTTTTAATAATTGTCACATTAATCTATGTCTGCTTGGGTTGCTCAACTGTCATACAAGTGGGAGGTTTAGGTAGAAAATGCCGGTACCAAGTCAGGAATATGACAGTTGTTTTTTTTAACTCGTTCCGTTGGTTGATAACGTTTGATTTTGTTATTTTTTATAGACTTCCCCTGTTTGGATTTACCTTAGAGTTCGTTTTTTTGTTGTTATACATTTAAGTATGCCATGAAATTACCATATCATGTACTTGACTAATATGCTAACTATGTTTTGAATACAAAATAAATTAGAGTTTAATGGGAGAGGATATTATTCTTGTGAAGTAGACCTTTCTTGCATCACCCTAATAAATGTTGCATATCATTTAAAGAAGAGTTATTGGTTTGACCAGTCAACACTGTGGGATAAATCCAAGTCCGTTTAATCCAGGTGAGCATGCATTCAAAACGAGTATTGAGTTTCATTAATGTTTGACTGGTTAAGTTGTTCAGCACCTCTATAAACAAAGATAAGACGTGCACAGTGGTTTTGTGTGAAGGCTCGTTCATACATTTTGCCTTACTAAGAAGATATTAAAACCACATTATCTTGGATTTAATCTTAGTCAAAAATAAAAACATAGCGAATTTCCTGGTTCAAAGCATATTGGTACAATTCACATGTATATTCTTAACTGAAGTAAATTAATATTAGTTAGCTCATTGTGTGACCTTACTGGTCTTCCAAAAAGAGTGATCGTTTTTTTTTAAAGTTTTTACATTGCAATCTTAGTATACTTGGATTTTTTGTTCAATCATTAATGAAAGTGAAATAATGATATAATAATTCACTTTTAGAAGCCAGTTTAGTGCAAGTGTTTTTTCCTCATTGAATCAGTATTCATGTGACCTTCAATTTAACCCCTTAGCTAGAGATAGGTTACGCATGAATTAAGCGTGTTCAGTTATTAAAAGGAAAAGAATGTCAACATTGAATGTGAAACAAGGGTTAACCATTTGATAGACTGATTTGATCCACAAAAACTAATTCTTATACAGGTAAAAACGATGATTAACATATATTCTTAACCTATAATATGAATCAAACAGACCTAGAAAAATCCAGTTGCACGAGTTCGCTACCTATTTATATCTATTTTATATCGGGTTATATTACCGTCGGCAGTCTTCGGAGGTCATCTCGATGGTTAATTAAATAGCGTCTAGCCTAAAATACACGAAATGTCGATACATATTATCGAGCCCATGCATTGAAAGTTGTTTATTTCAGACTTTTAATAATTTGGATATACGTTTTAGTATGTCAAAAATCAAATATGAGAATTTGAGCCAAATCGGTGGACATGAATTTGACAGCTAATGCCCCTTTAATTGTTCTTTCTTTGTAAAACAAGCGTATCAAAATTCTGTAAAGATACAAAAAAATGACAGTATGATTGATAAACATTTTTCGACAGCACAACAACCTATATTGACTGGCATATGTTTTCGGACGTAACCAGTTTTATGTACACACAAACATCCCCCATTGCTTTTTAAGATCATATATCATAAATAAAAGTAACAAAAACACAGTAAAAGTAAACATACACATCAACTTCTCCACAATATGAATGTAAAAATAGGCATCAAAGTCAATAGACTATTACTCTGGAGGCGGGTGAAATAATCCCACTGGAAATGATAAATGCCGATGCTTATACAACTGCAATCAAAATATCATTGACTTATTACAATCAGTGGTTCCCCATTGACAGGCATAATCACAAATTTTAACAGGTTGACGTCGCCGTCAGAAACAGCACACCTAAGTCTCGCCTTTGCGACTTCGTCGTGGCAAGACAGAAACTGAATATGACTATGTGTCCGACATTCGTTTGTATATGTTAAACAAATGAGCAACTAATTTGAATGATAAATCTCATAAAATGTATATAAATACATAAAAATGGCACGTCAAATGGTGTTTGAAGCCGTTTAAGGTTGAACAATAACACTACAGGGAGATAACTATGTAAAAATCAGCTAAACGTTTTAATCATATTCTATTGTTAATAAAATATTAAGCTTCTCAATGATCAAAATTAGTGTTTGTCAAACTGCTATATATCCAATGACATTTTTCCGATAAAGTGTGTGGTTCAAGTTTTTTGAAATTTTTATATTTTTGTCAAAAGGTCCAAGTAAATATTTTGTCAAAATTTTATGAAAATTAACGAGCCAAATTAATTTAAGTCAAGGTGTTTAATTGGTACCTTAAGAACGTATTTGACAACATGTCTTCTTAAAATGCACAAAGGGCATCATAGAGTCTGAGATGTATATTGGTTTAAGATTTACATTTATACATTTATATTTACTGTTTTGTATTATTTTAGGAATAACGGAAGTGATACTTATAAATAAGACCTGTTTTGTATTGGATACCTAAGCTTCACAAAATTACGTACAAAAAACAGTACATTGCCGTCTCATCTGCATGTTCTACAAAGGAATTGCCAATTAGATTGACAAAAATTCTGTCCGCAGTAAAAGAAGGTCTTCAAAAATACTTAGCTTCGTCTGTTACCAATTCAAACATCGAACTCGGACTTCTTTTCAACTGAGTTTTACTGTACGTATTGCTATGTGACACATTGTGTTTGTTTACTCTACATAAGTATAGGGGGAGGGTTGAGGTCTCTCAAAACATATCTAACCCCGCCGCATTGCGCCTGTCCCAAGTCAGGAACATCTGGCCTTTGTTATTCTTGTATCTTTTTTTTTTTTAAATTTTGGTTCGTCTATATGTTTCGGAGTTTAGTGTGACGTCCATTTTCTCTGAACTAGTACACATTTTTGTTGAGGGGCCAGCTGAAGCCCGCCTCCGGTTGCGGGATTTTCTCGCTATGTTGAAGACCCATTGGTGGCCTTCGGTTGTATTCTGCTCTTTGGTTGGGATATTGTCACTTTGACAAATTCCCCGTTTCTATTCTCAATTTTATTTGAAACTCGTGTGGTGGTATTAACCATATGTGGATTCAAAAAAACTCCAAAGAACTTCTAGATAATTTCAAATCTTGATCTTTCTCAGAACCTTTGATTTTTCAACCCTTTACACCACCATTCCCCATATGAAATTGAAAAATCGTCTCAAAGAAATAATACACAATGGTTTTCAATATAAAGATAGTAGCACACGCTATAAATTTATAGTTTTGGTATACCAAAGGCATATTTTGTTAATAGTGAACAAAAAGGTAAAACATTATACAACAAATAGACACTAAGTACAGATCTGAGAGTACTCTCAGTTACTGACAGCAAGTTCAAAGCCAATAACAACTAATAAAAAAATCATGCATCTAAGATTAAGACTGTTTCCACAAATTGTCAGTATTCCTATTGAAACGAACTGTGCGTCTCTCTTTGCCGACCTTTTCTTATTTTCATATGAGTCCGTGTTCCTTCAGACACTTGTCAAAAACAAGAAGATCAAAGAAGCCAGATCATTTAATTTTACATTCAGATATATTGATGATGTTCTTCCATTAACAATCCAAACTTTTCTGATTGGGTTCCATGTATTAATATATCCTCCAGAATTAGAAATTAAAGAAACAGACACGGCTTCATTTTTAGACTTATACCTCGAATTTGACAAAAGTGGTCATCTCAGTACCAGAATCTATGACAAACGAGACAATTTTAATTTTCATATCATAAATTTCCCCAACCTTAGCAGCAATATACCAACTTCTCCTGCATATAGGATATACATTTCCCAACTAATTCGGCATTCTAGAGCTTGCAGCTGCAACTCAGACTTTAAAAAAACGTCACCAGTGTCTGAGGAGAAAGTTGACGAACCAGGGTTGTGTCAAAGAACGTCTCGTCCTTTTCTAAAAAAAATCATCGGAAGATACCAAGACCTTGTTGATAAATATTCCATATCAACCTCGCAAATAATACATAATGGTCTTGAAGTATATATTCTAGGTACTGACGTTGTTTATCATCTTAATTATAGTGTTCATTTTATTGGCTTTGTATTTATACCTATACTGTTAAGCCATTTTTTGTTAATATCCTTATGGCGTGTATTTATCTATCCCGCCATTGTTTCAACTATGGTGCTATGGTCATTTTTTGTATTCATTAATTTTCATTTTTGCTTATGAGCTTTGTCTATACAGTGTCTATATGCCATTTTGTTTTTCTTTGCTGGCATAGTTGTTTGTTTTTATAGTGATTAAGATTATAACACAATGTTGACCCCAATTTTTGACATTTTTACCTTTTATGTATGTTTGTTTTGTTCACACATTGTTGTCAATATAATGGAATTTAATGCGACTGTCATACAAGTGAGAGGTTTAGCTAGATATTAAACCAGGTTTAATCCACCATTTTCTACATAAGGAAATGCCTGTACCAAGTCAGGAATATGACAGTTGTTTTGCATTCGTTTAAAGTGTTTGATCTTTTGATTTTTCCATTTGATAAGGGTCTTTCCGTTTTGAATTTTCCTTTGAGTTCGGTATTTTTTTTATTTCGCTTTTTGATAGTGAGAAACTCCCTCTATAAACAATCTAACAGTCAGGTATATTTACCCACACTATATTAATAAATGCTTCTGGGTTATCGACACTAAGCTTTGGGAAGTTGGTTTAAAAAAGGGAGAAATCGGTTTGCACCAAAAATGCATCCTTTTGAAAAAAAAAAAAAAACTCATTTGCGCCAATTATACATGTGCGGCACTAGTTTTTAAAATGGTAAGTATCATTTGCGCCAAAACATTAGTAAACGATAGATGAATTTTTATTTTACACTTTACAATTTAATGGTACTTTTGGATAAAAAAAATCGAAATGAAAACAAGTGACAACATCTTATGCATTCCAGCAGAGAAGTTTCAAATAAGCTTCAAAATCAACAATTATATCATTGAATAATACGAAGTCATCATCTTTATGTACACTTTGTTGTATTTTTCTTAATTTTTTGTTCGTTTTTTGTCTAACCTAGACATATTTTTTTTCTATCAATGTACATTCATTTTTCGAACACATTTCGAATCATTCCTTTCAAGCCGGTCTACATTAATTTTGAACAACTTCGAAAAGTTGATCTTAGATGGTTTCTCAGATATTTTTTATGTTGCCTTTCATTTGCAGATCATTTGACGTTAAAATTACGTACGCTTATCAATCTCCACTCTTCTGTATGCAACATTAGACCCATTTATTCCATAAAGTATTGTTATTAAGATACCTAAATTTGCTGAAGACTGATATATCTATCAGCTAGACATTGATAATTTGATGAATATGCATACACGTAGGTTGGTGCAAATGAATTCCGTATTCTGGTGCAATTGATAACTTACAAAAATAAAATTTAGCATAAATGATGCGTCTTAAAAATAACAATTGGTGCAAAAGGACTGCAGTCTAAAAAATGGACATGTTTGATAAATCATGACATTAAAAATGCATAAATGTTTGACTTTTAGAAATTATCAAAATATATGATAAGTCATGTCATTAAGTTACCTTCATTTAAATGTTCTTCATCAAAGCTTGAAAACTGTCCATTAAGCACAGTGGCGATCAATTTTACAATACCAGGAAGTAGTAAAATAAATATCACCAGTGGAAGATTCAGCAAACTGCAGCTTTTACTGTTGTTTCGTTTTTTAATTATATTGTTGTTTTTAGTACCATCATGCCTTAATGTCATCATATTTCCAAATCTCTGTTGAAAAAATACTCTAACAATTTCATTGGGTGATGATTCCGTTAGTAGCTGAACTGATGTAACTACTAATTCAGCTGAAGGTTGCTGAAGTATTTCTTTTGGTATTCTCAGATTCAGTTTTAAATCTTCTAAATCAGCAATGGCCTTTTTTGAACTTTCAGTAGTACTTATATCGGGCATTCTAAGGAGAGTAATAAGGCTATCGAAACTGTGAATCTTTTCCACATCATGTAAGAAAACAGTATAATTGTGAGCAAAATTTTGATTTCGTGTTCTTTGAACATTAGCAATGGTTTGATCAGAAATCATACCATTGTATTTTTTCAAATTCTTGAACAATGACATTAAGGCTCCTAAATCTTGAAGAATTCCCTGTCTGACAGATTGGAAATCCTGAACAAACACTTTTGCCATCTCTTCAAATGAATGTGGAAAGTCAATTGTATCGATATCTTTCCAGTTAATTCGATCCCAATATTTCTTGAAACGGTTCAGTTTATGAAGGTCATTTTTCCAGTCAATACACACAGTACACCATTTTCCAAACGCATGTCCAAACTTCCGACTGCAGTCCAACTTACAGTTTCCTGGTGAACATTTCTTATAAATGTCTCTATGTGTTATTTTCAAAGAGTCAGTTACAAAATCTTGTAACCCTTCAACTGTTATTTTCAATCCAAACGCTACAGACATGAAATTATCAAATTGTTGAATGTCGGCCATATTGTTCTGATTTTACGCAATGCAATTTTAATGTTACGCTATAAATAATATATTGTATTTTGACAGTTTTAAAATAGTTTGTAACATATCCGAAATTTTAAATAGCCTACATATCGATTAGTTTATACAGTGCAGTACAAATGTAAGGGACGCACATTTATAAAATGCTTTGAACATTTGATGTTCCAAATACGATTTAAATGCCCCATTTTTTTTTCGTATTGAAATTATGTACACAAAGTTGCATATGGCATCTATGGACAGTACGATAACGATATTAGAGTGTAAGAACACATAGTTTCTTTATCTAGCTGGGTTTAACCCAATGCGAGTACTCTCTTATCACACTTCTAACCAAATTACCCCACAAAAAAATCTTTTTTAATGGTGGCTGTAATATTTCAGACTAAATTCGAATACACAGATATACCAGTCACAATAAGGGTGATTAATATAAAAATAAGGAGATGTGGTATGATTGCCAATGAGACAACTATCCACCAAAGTTCAAAAGAAGTGGATGTAAGCAATAATAGGCAACCGTACGGCCTTTAACAATGAGAAAAACCCATACCGTATGGTCGGCTATAAAAGGCCCCGACATGAAAAATATGAAACAATTCAATTGAGAAAACTAACGGTCTAATTCATAACAAAACAACTTACTAAAAACAAATATGACAGACATGAACCAACGACAACCACTGAACTACAGGCTCCTGACTTGGGACAGGCACATAAAGAATGTGGCGGGGTTAAACATGTTTGCGAGCGCTGAACCCTCCCCCTAACCTGGAGCAGTGGTGTAACAGTACAACATAAGAACAAACTATAAAAATCAGTTGAAAAAGGCTTAACTCTTCAGATAGATACAAATAGAAATACATCTAACAAAAACACAGAGTAGACGTAGACGGGTACTTATACATCCCAAAAACAAAAAGACTGTAGGTACAGATCTGAGAGTACTCGCAGTTACTGACAGCTAGTTCAAAGCCAATAACAACTAATAAAAAAATCATGCATCTAAGACTAAGACTGTTTCCACAAATTATCAGCATTCCTATTGAAACGAACTGTGCGTCTCTCCTTGCCGACCTTTTCTTATTTTCATATGAGTCCGTTTTCCTTCAGACACTTGTCAAAAACAAGAAGATCAAAGAAGCCAGATCATTTAATTTTACATTCAGATATATTGATGATGTTCTTCCATTAACAATCCAAACTTCCAATGGATTTAGTCTAAAGACGTCATTAACAGTCAGAGAAAAACATTACCTTGTGCAGTGCCAAACTATAAGTATCGACAGATTGCATACCGTGAAAGTACATATATGTAATATTTAGTATGGTTTTAATTTACTGATAGAAAAACCAATATTTATACCAATAAAAACAATGTTCAAAGATTTAATTACAGTGTTGAATAGGTAACCTTTTAGAATAAGTTTATTTAAAGGATTGATAAGTTTACCGGGATCGTATCTAAATTTCCGGGCTCGGTTTACACATCACCGTAAAATTTAGGATATGCTATTCCGTTTGAAATAAGTTTTCTTCAGGTACAGCCAAACTTGCAGACCCAATCTTTGTATCTATGAAAGAATTTAGTAAAAGTAATTTGTGGTAGCGAAATCCCTGACTTATTAATTTACCAGTAATACATAGATTAAAATCCAAAACGTCACTACAGACACGAGCATAGCGAACGAGTTGAAATATATAAACACCGTAAGACGGTGCAGAAGGAACATCACCGTCCAAAAAGGGAAAATGAACAATAGGGAAAGAAAAATCATCCCTTTTGTCGTAAATTTTTGTGTAGAATTTCTGGTGTAATACTGAAATGTATAAATCTAGGATGGGACAGTTATTGCTGTTGATATTAGATTTATTTAAAGTAAGTTCCTTTGGGTAAGTTTCAGCAGTATAGTTAACGAATTCTTGATTATTTAACGAAAAAAAAATCATCCAGATAATGGTAAGTGCTGTTGAATTTATCAATTAAATGGAATTTAGACGGTTCTTTACTGAGTTTGGCCATAAACTGTGATTCATAACAGTAAAGGACTCTGTCGCTACAGATCGGTGAGTAAAATGTCGATAAGTTCTTACATCTAAATACATGCAACTTATATTATATCTTCACTAAGTCAAATATCGATTTAAATTTTGTCAACTTAAATAGGCCCCCCAAAACAAATCAGAATTCCAAAATCATCGAGTGCAGGCGTAAATATTTAAGTCAAATGTCAAATTTTACTGACTGAAAAACTATTTATTACTAATAGTTTACAACATAATTATGTTTAAAATATTAAAATAGCAGCAGCTACGGATTAGATTGATTGATTGGTTGGTGTTTAACGCCAATTTCAGCACTATTGTAATATTTCGTGGCGGTCAGTTTTTATTGTTGAAGGAAGCCAGAATGCCCGCAGAGAAGCACCGAGATTTAAATTTTCAACCTCAGTGTTGACAGGCTTGTGATACAGTAGTTCGACTACTTAGACCACTCGACCAACGAGGCCCCCATATGAACCAGATACAAAATTAAAATATGAATTATTTTTGTTTGAAACATTTATAAAAGTGAAATATAGAGATAATATTTCGCTGTAAGAAATCAGATTGGACCAATTTCGTCGAAATAAGCTAAAAAAACACATCACAGATGTATTATTGTCTTGCAAGACAGTAAAACAACTCATTTGAATTCGTATTCCTGCAACCTTTAATTTGACCTTAGCGGTGATGGGAACAACATGTGGCTCATTCATTAAAAAGAAAAGAATGTCAACATTGAAAAGTGAAACCAGGGAGACACCAGGAATAACCATTTCTTTGACTGATCCGGCCCACAAAAAATCATTCTTATACAGGTAAAACGATGATATACATATGTTTTTAATCTATGACACCAAACAGACCTAGAAAAAAATCGTCATAATACAATTGCACGTGCTTTTCTGTTTGTTCATATTTATATTTATGTTTATATCAAGTTCTATGATCGTCGGCAGTCTTCGGAGGTAATCTCCAAGTATTATTAGATGGCGTCTAATTGAACATACGCATGAAATACTGATACATTATAACGAGTCAATGCATTGTTAATTGTTTCTTTTGGACTTTTTGTAATTTTGATATACGTTGTAGTTTGTTATAAATCAAATATGCGAATTTGGGTCAAATCGGTCAACATGAATTTGCAGCTAAAGCCCCTTAAATAATGTAAAGGAATCAGATTCTTGGTTAAAGTTATTTTCTATTCAAACTCAAACACTTCGTAATGTTCTGATAATATTTTGAAAATCTTGTCCTCTATCTTGGAATTTTAGTGTTGTAAAAGAACGTTTCGTGCATTGGTAGCAAGAGGCATCTTTTCCAATTGAACATCAATTCAAGATACAGGGTCATACTTTTTTTTAAAGCATCGATTTTAACGAATAATTTTACTGTAAAATCCGATATATTTGACATTTTCCAATGAACATATATTTTTATAATTTTTATGTATTTGAACATGAGAATTCCAACGCTGATACTGTATGTTACAAAGTCAGGAAACTGCATTTAGTTTTCGTAAAATGTACTTTTGAAGCTTTGTCTAGATACGAAAAAAGTGTTTGTTCCATTGGCTCTCTAACAAATACTACCGTAATCCACGAGTCACTTTACTATTCTTTCGATTTCGCCATCGTTTAAATATGTTAATCCATTTCTGGGATGATTTTCCCTTTTTTGAATAACTTGCAACAGTTTCTTCTAGTATGTACAAGCTGACTATGGATTCCAAAGAAAAAAGTTTGTACTTAGGTGCAACAATAGGTTAGAACAAAATGTCTTCCTTATTCTTTATTTTTGCATTTTGAAAAAGGAAAAACAAACAACAGAAAATATACCCATGTCAGTTTAAAAAATCTGCCAGTATTCCTATTCCACAGTTGTGTATGAATTTGAAGGAATAGATTCTTAGATTAGATTCTCAAATTTATTCAATTTGTGTATACATAATGTTACAATATATTGGTTAAGATGTATTTGTTCATTTTAATTTGTTCCTGTCCAAATCACCATTCTTCAATATACTATGAAACAATAAGATCCAAACTCAATAACTCAAAACTGAACTGAAAAGTGTTTGACCTTGTCGTCGATGGTCAAAGTCAAGGGTCATCTATAAATGTACTTGGCACAATATTCTCTTTAGAGTTTTATGTTAAACATATAGTAGAATAACAGAAATAGTGAAACATAAAAAAACACTGAATAAACCGGCATTGTTTGAATTACAATAGATAGTTAAATCAACTCCTTATGATATATATTTTTTTTCAAATGAAATGCACAATAATTTGAAAAAAAAACAAAATCAAAATCTAAAAAACACTTTCAGTCAACATTTCAATTTAAACTTTAACGGACAATCCACGTCAAACATTTCTCCCCTTCCTTGAATGACCAGTGAATCCTCTAGCAAGATGCCAACAGCGTAAGAGTCTGGGTGTTCTATAACTCCCGGAAATGTTATATGATGTATCCCATTCTGATCGACTGAATAACCACCCCTGTGATCATGACCGCTGATATAACAGACCACAGAGATTTCAGACAGAATTTTTAATATTTCACTATAATTCCAACTCAAACTGCTACCACTGTTTGCGGCAGGTAAGTAAACTGGGTTATGGCCTGTAACGAATAATTCCAAGTATACATTAAGTACACTTATTCTAATGTATAAAATCATTCAGTAATGTTGTTCACACTAATCATAGACACTTATTCGTTGTTGATGACTGTACGTGTATTTTAGATGACGGGTAATTTTATTTTTTCGTTTTGATATTATTAGTTTTCTACGTTCATATCCACAGATATGCAAATTTTAAAAACCTGAAATACTCCAGAATGTGTAACGTTAAAGCAAACTATTTTATAATTAGAAAAAAAACTTGTGGAAAAATGAACGTTTGACATAATTTTACAGGGTGTAGAAACCTGCAGGTGTTCAAATATAAAAACGTTTTACTTTTATAATAAGAGAAGCTTGACTAAATAGACTTTAGCGTTCGACGTCTCGAGCGGCAAGTCATAAACACCGAGACCCCAAAGTGACTCATTTGCATAACTAGGTCAGAAGTTTCATTCATGGACGATGAATCCAAGCGATCTTCTATTCAGCTTACAATTTTGTCATCGTCCTGTAAACTATGTATCTTTATAAAAAAACAAACAACAGATATATATATAAAAAATAAACAAAAAAACAAAAAACAGAACAAAACAAAACGAACAACACATACAAAACAGACACAATCGTATCAATGTAGATACCTAATTAGAAGAAACACAAAAATCGAAAATATAGGTGAACTGTTGGAAAAAGGGTTCCATTATGTCTCTGTTCAATTAACAGGTACGGCTTTCAAATATTCGTCTTTGAGCGTTCCTTATGAAGGTTAATCCAAAAAAGAGCTTCGGACGCATGATATTTATAAAGTGTTGTTTCCAGATTTGACAAAGTAAGTGATGTCTAAATAAAAATAATAACTTTTTGTTACATCCACGTTCTTTGGTCCCTGGTGGATACTTTTTCTAATGGCAATCATACCACATGAAATTTTTTAATATCTAACAACAGACTTAACTAAATTTTCAGGAAGCCGACGCCGGCTTAGGACCGATAAGTTTGCTACCGCGACTTTCGTCGCTGGCCCGATACAAAAATAGTGAACAATAAATCTTTCACTTCAACAAGCTTGAATACCAGTTATACTTTCATATTATTTTGGGTATATACAATGTCTATGTTTCGTCATATCTTTTGTTAGCTAGAGTTGTGAACTTGCTTGATGGCCAATGGGTATATCGACTATAATTCTTAGAGGTGGTGGAAGAAATTTTGAAACTAAAAACCAAGCAACTGTTGAAAGGTTCTAAATAAGCTAGTGGTTTGACAAGAGAAAAAGTTTATTTTAGAAAAAAAATTTAACAGGCTATGGACAACGGACACCACTCATAATGGTTTTAATGGCAAAGCGATCTAAACCTAACTACTTGGTACTTAAATGTTTTATACGATGGTACTAGTGGTTGTAATGCCAGTTAATGCGTCAGCACAAAATATCACGTAAAAATGTATAGCCTGGTGGTGTCTTATGTCAAGCTAGAATAATTAAATCCACCAAATTAATTTGAAAACTGTTTCCTTATTCAATCTTCCTTTTGATATGAGAAACCCTGTCTCATATTACAATTATGATTTACAATCTGTTTATATGTGATGAATAAACTACATACCAATGACAATAACATTTTCTTTTTGTTCTGTTGCTAACATCAGCTCTTTTCTCAACCATTCCAACTGCTCTTTTGAAACTGCCCCATTAAAGTCTACAAATCGTCTATCATCCGATTCCAGACCTGATGTGTCATCTTTATCTTTGTTTGGGTTTCGTTCCTCCAAAACGGACTGAGCTGTATTATAATGAGTTGAACCCTCTACTTCACCGAGAACTGATACTTCATAAGTGTTCAAGACACAGACTTTAAGTCCTTGATATGGCGATAATGTATAATATGCTGTGTTGGAAGATGGCAGATTTCTGAACAACCTTGATTTGTATAGGCTTTCTTTTTTAAAATTGTATAGTTCATGGTTACCAACAACATTTAAAACCGGCCATTGTTCTTCATCAAATATGTCTAAAATACGATTTAGACAATTAATGGGTTCTTCAGTCCGTTTACAGAATCCATCAATTAAATCACCAAGCTGAAGAATAAATTTGACGTCATTTTGTTTCCAGTCCTTCATTGCTTTCTGCAGAAGACTTAATGATGATCTGTAGTAACGTTTTCTGGTTCCATTCCAGTTGTATCCATCTTCAATGTTTGCATACTGAAGATCAGCCACAACACCAAACCTTAATAATGTCTTCTTTGCTGTCATGTAAATATATAAAGATAGTATTATAATTTATAAATTTTACAAGTTTGAAATTGGTAAGGGGACGTCACATTGTCAGCTTATTACTATACGAGTCAATTATGTTTGCAATTGTAACATATGTACACTGATGCTATTTGTATGCTCATATGTGTAACGTAAATTCTATAAGTTGTATTGTTGCATTTTTAATAAAATGGTATATTTAAAAAACTATTCAACATTGAGGTCATGAAAAACAAGATTTGCCTGAAGAAAAACCACCATAATAAATAGAACAGTTATGACAAGAACTCCAACGTCATTGTGAAAAGTACCAAAATGTTGGTCACTTGGTATCCGAAATCTCAACTTGAGCGTTAAATATAATAAAAGTCCATAAAATAAAATTTGCATATGACTAATTTTAGGGGAACCCGTTTTTCTCTAAATGCTTCCCTGCACAAAATTTATGTCTAGCTTCATTTAGTATTTTAGAAATCAAATCTTTTAACATATTAATACAAATAATCCAAGGCAAGGGATACGACCGATATGTTTCAATTGTTGTAACCACAATCCCGTCTTCTTGTCCTAGAATGTGACTTATCGAGTTAAACTTATCACCTGGTCTGTACGTACATGAGCAACACGACAGGTGCCACGTGTGCTTACCCTTCCAGAGCACCTGCGATCACCACCAGTTTTGTAAGGGTTCGTGTTGCTCATTCTTTCAGAATTCTATGTTGTGTTTTGTAGAGTGTTTGTCTTTTGGTCGTTTTTTGATTTTTGTAATGGCATTGTCAGTTTGTTTCCGACTTATGAGTTTGAATATTCCTTTGGTAATATCCGCCTCTCTTGTGTACTCCCGTTGACATGTTCGTCTACAAAAGAGTCATCAGTGACGTTCCAATCAATAAACTTAAAATGCCATTCAAAGTACGAATTTGAATAACCTTGATGACCCGAAGTTTTGAAGGGTTTTTTGCCAAATACAGCTTATGTACTAGTCATGTCTTCTTTAACTGTCCATGACGTTAAAACACTAAATCCCTGGGATGTGTTTTAGTTGATTTTAGTCTCTGATGCATGATTTTTTATTATTAATTGTTTTTGGCTTTTAACTAGCTTTCAGTAACTGCGAGTACTCTCAAATCGTACTTTCGTGTTAATTTGACCTGTTGATACAATTTGTAATGCATTTTTGTTATTTAGTGTTTACTTATTTTGTGTTATATGTCGTCTCACTATTTTTAATATATACCACCTTTGATAAGTGTTTGGTATGACGATAAATTTTCACTTCTGTTCTCGTAATATGAACAACAAAATTATTTATTTTGTAAAAAATATTTCCGTACTCCATGTATACCTTACAACAAAATTATTTTTATTTACCTGTGTACGTTATTTTATTTGGCGGCATTTTGTCCAAGGTTATGGTTGTCTTTCTGATATTGTTTTACATCTGACCCCCATTTTTTATTAATTTTGTATTTACATTGTGTCAAAGATCAAATTTATTCGCTCAGTGTATGTTCACTTGTTTTTATTAATATGCCTTTTGATTGAGTTAAGCCATTTCAATTGATATTTTATAGTGTGTCTTTCTATGTTGTGATGTTACACTATTGTTTCAGGTTAGGGTGAAGGTTGGCGCCTATTAAAACGTTTAAACCCGCTGCATTTGTTTGCACCTGTCTTAAGTCAGGAACCTGTTGTTCAGTGGTTGTCGTTTGTTGATGTGGTTCATAAGTGTTTCTCGTTTCTCGTTTTTTATATAGATTAGACCGTTGGTTTACCTGTTTGAATGGTTTTACACTAGTCATTTTTTGGGCCCTTTATAGCTTGCTGTTCGGTGTGAGCCAAGGCTTTTGTTGAAGGCCGTACTTTGACCTTTAATGGTTTACTTTTACAAATTGTGACTTGGATGGAGAGTTGTCTCATTGGCACTCATACCACATCTTCTTATATCAATGTAATCTATTCCTGGGATAGAAAATCCTTAGTATTTCAAACAAATCAAAGTCTTGCAAAAAATGTATTTTTGAATTTGACCATATCAATGATAATTCATGTCATCTGTAATCTGAACGTAAAACCTAAGTTTGATATGTACTATCGCATTCCTATAGATGTAGCCTTATGCCAGTGTATATACTTGTAGAAATCTTAGTGCCAGACATTATATTTACGCTACAAAACATCCTTGAAATCAATATTTTATGTTTTATGTTAGGTCCTTAAAGTAATCAATAGTAATATTTATAAGCCTAATAATAAATTCAGAAAGTCTAACAGAAGACGGTTAGTTGGTTGTTTGCTGTGAGGTCATCAGTTAATCTGAATTCTCCAACCTTTGTATAAATCTAACAAAAGACATTTATTTGGTGGGATGCAGTGAGTTCACCATTAAATCAGAACCCCCACCCTTTGTATAAATCTAACATCTAGTTGGTTTGATGCAGTGACACAGAAACCCTCATCTTTTGTATAAATTCAATAGAAGACAATTAGTTGGGTGAATGCTGCAAGGTCATCATGAAATCAGAAATCAAAACCGTTTGTATAAATCTAATAGAAGACAGTTAGTCGGTTGGATGCAGTTATGTCATAATCAGTGGGAAATTTAGTGAACGAAAAAAAAAGAAAATTCATTCTTCTTATGATAGAGTCGAGAAAGTCAATAATAAAACAATGCCGGTGACGATACTGATCAAAAGTTATTTATAAATAATAATTGTACATTTTAAAGAAATTATTTGTTAAACTGTATTATTAGAAATATACATGCAAATACACGATGTTTTATGTTCAGTATTTATCGAGATACTTGCATTAGAAGCTTGTGAAACTGAAATCTAAAAAATGCTAATTTTTGCTGCATATTGATAAAAAAAAATGGAAAAAAATCATGTACATACAAAATCTAAAGATCTTTCGGGTCACCAATTTTCGGAGTATTCCATAAAGTCCATAGTATGGTAAAATTTCCCAAAGTATACTTATTTTTTCACACCTAAGTTATCGAGTACACCTGTCTGCTCTTGTCACATGTACATTCAATAGAGAAATATTGTCTTTTCGTGAATATAACAATTTAAAAGTCTGTCTGTGCAGATTAAATTTATAATTGATAGTGTCCTTGCTAAAATGGGACAAACATTGAAAAGATCTAGTTTTCAGTGTTTACAGGCAGGGGAGTTAATATTTTGTCACTAGATTTCCCACTGTGTGGTAGTCCTTGTTATTCTAGTGAACTAGTTCATAGGGAAAGATATAAGTTCGGCTAATTGGTAGAACTGGTTGTTGTAATGGTCTAGTCTAATGGGATATATGTAAGTTCTGCTATATGTTAGACCTTGTTGTATCGTTCTAGGTCACTTGAATAGGTGTAAGTTCTGCTGTTTGGTAGACTTTGTTGTTGTATCGTTCAATGCCACTTGGATAGATGTACGTTCTGCTATGTGGTGGACCTAGTTGTTGTAGTGTTCTAGTCCTCTGGGAAAGATGTACGTTTAGTAATGTTGTAGACCTTGTTGTCGTAGTGAACAAGTTCATAAGGATAGATATAAGTTCGGCTAATTGGTAGAACTCTTTGTTGTACTGTTTTAGTATAATGGGATAAATACAAGTTCCGTTATGTGGTAAACCTTCTTGTTGTATCGTTCTGGCCAATTGCATTGATGTAAGTTCTGTTATGTGGTAGACCTTGCTGTTGTACTGATCTAGTCCACTGGGATAGATGTATGTTCTTATTTGTGGTAGACCTTGTTTTAATTTTGTAATCCAATGGGATAGATGGTAGATCTGCTATGTGGTAGACCTTGTTGTTGTAGTTGATTCTAGACCAATGGGATAGACGTATGTTTAGGTATATAGTAGACCTTGTTGTTTATGGGTTTTAGCCTAACGGGATATATGTACTATATGGTAGACCTTGTTTTTGTAGTGTTCCAGCACTAGTAAAGCAATTTTAAACCTATGTTAATCTGAAACAGTCATCCCGCTGCAAATGTTTCCACCTGTCCTAAGTCAGGAATCTGATTACAGTAGTTGTCGTCTGTTTATGTAGTTCATACGTGTTTCTCGTTTCTCGTTTTTATATAGATTAGACCGTTGGTTTTTCCGTTTGAATGGTTTTACACTAGTAATTTTTTGGGGCCCTTTATAGCTTGCTGTTCGGTGTGAGCCAATGCTCCGTGTTGAAGGCCGTACCTTGACCTATAATGGTTTACTTTTATAAATTGTAACTTGGATAGATAGTTGTCTCATTGGCACTCATACCACATATTCCTATATCTATTGTGATCAGAACAGCTCATAAAACAATAAATTATTACATCATTTTCGGTCTTTCACTTAATTTGCAGACTTATCCACTGAAGTAAATTCAGTACTGTGCAGACAACGTAGATCTCTTCGGTCTGTTTTCAGACTGTTCAGTAGTTGTTATTTTACCTGTACAAATAAATATCATACTGAATTGCTAGGAAAGCTAACGAACATTACTGAATTTACTGCAACCGACTTGCCTGGACAAAACTGAATTCACCGCAATGGATAAGTAAAAAAATTGTTTGAAAGACTGAACTAGACTGAATAATTTATTGGTCAGACTTTTCAGATGATATTAAGATCAAAATGATCTGTCCCGAATGTTCTTGCATTTATTTGTACTGCATTCCTGTCGTGTAATGGTGTCATTTTAGTGTTATATTTAACATTGCCATAAAAGTGCGAGGTTTGGCTAGCCACAAAACCATGTCCTGTACCAAGTCAGCAAAATGGCCATTGTTATATTATAGTTCGTTTCTGTGTGTGTTACATTTTAATGTTGTGTTTCTGTTGTGTCGTAGTTCTCCTCTTATATTTGATGTGTTTCCCTCAGTTTTAGTTTGTAACCCGGATTTGTTTTTTTCTCAATCGATTTATGAATTTCGAACAGCGGTATACTACTGTTGCCTTTATTTAAGACTAAGAATATCTTACTAGTGTAAATCCAAAGGGATGAAGTTCAGTTATGTGGTAGATCTTTGTGTTAATGGGTTTCAGCCTAACGGGATATTCGTTATTTCAGCTAATTGCTAGAACTTGTTATCGTAGTATTCTATTCCAACGGGATAGATGTAAGTCCAGCTGTGTGATAGACCTTGTTGTTGTAGTGTTCTAGTCCAATGGAATAGACGTTAGTTGTACTATGCAGTAGACTTTGTTGTTGTAGTTCATTTAAACTTATCTAAACTTAAAGGAATTAAACTTTATTTAATTTTCTTAAAATGACTCTTGGATAAATATGAGTAAAGAGAATTGGAATGGAACGGTGAACAACTTGTGTTCATTGGAATGTCAATCTTCTAACTTTACTTTCCGGTACATAGAGGATTTTCTCTCACTAAATAATTGAAATTTGGTGACTATGTTGAACGCATCTATCCCATAGAACTTGAGATAAAGGATACAACAGATACAGTTAAGTCTGCCTCATATCTTGACTTATATCTAGAAATTGAAAATGAGGGTCGGTTGAAAACAAAACTTTATGACAAAAGAGATGTTTTCAGCTTCCCAATTCTGAACTTTCCATTTTTATGTAGCAACATTCCAACAGCGCCTGCATACAGAGTATATATCTCCCAGTTGGTACGATCCTCCAGGGCTTGTATTTCTTATCATGATTTCCTTGATAGAGGGTTGCTGCTCACAAGGAAGCTATTAAACCAAGAGTTCCAAGTGGTGAAGTTGAAATCATCTCTTCGTAAATTTTACGGACACCATCACGAATTGGTTAACCGTTACGGAATATCCGTTTCACAGATGATAACGGATATGTTCCTTATGTCGTTACTACAATCCCGTCCCCTTTTCCCGAATGTGATCTACCGAATTAGACGTATTACCGGGTTTGTACTAACATGAGCATCACGACGGTGCCACATGTGGAGCAGGATCTGCTTACCCTTCCGGAGAACCTGAGATCACCCCTAGTTTTTGATGGGGCTCGTGTTGCTCAATCTTTAGTTTTCTATGTTATGTTTTGTGCACATTTGTTTGTCTGTTGGTCTTTTTCTTTTTTAGCCATGGCGTTGTCAGTTTATTTTAGACTTATGAGTTTGAATGTCCCTTTGGTATCTTTCGCCTCTCTTCTACAATGTTTTAATGGAAAGACAAGTGTGTACTGAAGACGTAATCGTTCAAAAACTTCAAAATCCTAACATTTTATAATTTTCTCGTCTGTTCTTTTGATCACTCTTTCTTGACAATAGTTATGATATGGCTTAATCAGCGAACTTCCCGGCAAGGAACCGTGCAACACTATGTGTGATAATTCTCTGATTGAACCTTTATAAACAAAAAACTTTAGATAAAGGATACAACAGATACAGTTAAGTCTGTCTGATATCTTGACTTACATCTAGAAATTGTCAATGAGGGTCGGTCGAAAACAAAACTTTACGACAAAAGAGATGATTTCAGCTTCCCAATTGTGAACTTTCCAAATATATGTAGCAACACTCTAGCAGCGCCTGCATACTGAGTATGTATCTCCCAGTTGATACGATATTCCAGGGCTTGTATGTCCTATCATGATTTCCTTGATAGAGGGTTGCTGCTCACAAGGAAGCTATCAAACCAAGAGTTCTAATTGGTGAAGTTGAAATCATTCCTTCGTTAATTTTGCGAACGCAATCACGAGTTGGTTGACCGTTGTGGAATATCTGTTTCACAAATGACAACGGATATGTTCCAATTTTCCTAACTACAATCCCGTCCCCATTTCCCCGATTGTTACCTACTGAATTAGACTTTTCACCGGGTTTGTACTTTTATGAGCAACACGACGGGTGTCACTTGAGCAGGATCTGCCTACCCTTCCGAAGCACCTGAGATCACCCCAATTTTTTGGTGGGGTTCTTGTTGCTCCTCAGTCTTTAGTTTTCCATGTTGTGTTTTATTTATTGTTGTTTGTTTGTATGTTTGTCTTTTTCTTTTTTAGCCATGGCGTTGTCAGTTTATTTTAGACTTATGAGTTTGAATGTCCCTTTGGTATCTTTCGCCTCTCTTTTGCGCCTTATATTCTACATTATTTAAGAGAAAATGATCAAATCTGTTTTATGTATATACTACGACTACGTTGATTGTCGAATACAATTTTACAAGATGGTTTGCTCGGATCCCTTTTATCTAATAACATATGAATTCGGGGTGATAATATTTTGCATTATTTGGTATTTGCTCACTTTCATTTTATATTTCCCGTTTTTCATATCAATGTGCAGTCCGATTAAAAAATAGCAATATCTGTAAGAAAATAATAAAAATGGAAAGAGGATGTCTTTTCATATGTTATAGAACTATGATCTTTATCAGTGATTTTAGAATAGATTTTTAGTAAAAACTATAACGGACAGTCGACAGACGTCAGACACAACTTCCTGGCAATAAAGAAAAGTTGGCAGTAGTAGGCTGTGTTGCTTTTTTTGTAGCCTGCATTCACTTCTTATCAATGTGTCACTTGTAATATTTGACTTCATCTACAATTGTTTCATATATACTGCTAAATACATATTGCAGGTTAATCGAATTCAATTACATTATTGAATTATTGCTTCATACCTTGTAAATAGACAGAAGATACATTATTTTTACTATTTACTTATGATAGCGCAAATGTAACGTTGCTCTCATATAAATTGTACTTTTCCCTTTTTTTCATGACGTTTACTATTATACTGTTATATTATTTATTTATGTATTTCTCTGTGCTGAGTGTTCTTGCGTTTGTTTGTGCTGTATTCCTGTCACGTAGTGTTGTCATTTTATCGGTATTTTTAACATTTTAGTTTGTTACCCGGATTTGTTTTTGCTTAATCGAATTATGACTATTGAACAGCGGTATACTACTGTTGCTTTTATTTACGCCTTTGACACATTTCCGCCAGAGACTAAGTGACGTAGAAACTCATTTAATTTTTGGAAGTATACGAAGATATTTTCATTGATGTATCTTTTGAAAACATCTTTTTTTCAACACCGCAAGAAAATCCCGCACCCGGTGACAGGCTTCAGCTGGCCCTTAATAAAAATGTGTACTAGTTCAGAGAAAATGGATGTCACACTAAACTCCGAAACATTTAGATGAACCAAAATTAAAAAAACATACAAGAATAACAAAGGCCAGAGGTTCCTGACTTAGGACAGGCGCAAAAATGCGGCGGGGTTAAACCTGTTTTTGTGAGATCTCAACCATCCCCCTATACCTCTAGCCAATGTAGAAGAAACAAACACCATAGCAATACGAACAGTAAAACTAAGTTTAAATGAAGTCCGAATCCGATGTTAGGATAGGTAACAGAAGAAACTAAGCAAAATGACAATGACAACATAAATTAACAAAGGACTACAAGCAGTTACTGACATGCCAGCTCCAGACCTCAATTAAACTGAGGTCAATAAACGGTCAACTACACATATTGAAATGTTTTACGTGAATGTTAATGGGCATAGTTTTAATAACCGACACCTAGAAATAGAACTTTAATGATTTTCAAAAAAAGAATTTGAAGTTTGCCGAAAATTATTTTTTTAAAGGTTTCGATCTAGTTGCACCACTGAATTTTTAAACAAGACAAAATTATTTATTCTCTGGATGAAGGAGTGTAACTGAACCTTGAAATACTATCTGGTCTTATTGTCAAAACAAAAATCAAAACACAACAATACCATTATTTTGTCTTTTTTTAATTCAAAATTGTCTTCGATGAAATAAAAAAGATTTCGGTTTACATAATTTTATTAAGTAAGTACAATTATTTTACAAGTTAGCTGTTCTTCCATTTGTTTTATTTTCTTTGGTTTTCAACACATTATAAATCTGATCAATTTACTCAGGGTTTGGCTTTACCAAGTAGCGATACTAACAGTCAGTTGTTGTAATCTCTGATGGATAGTTGTATCATATTACCAATCCTTATTTCTATATAGATGAAAACATTTGTGTATGTGCAGAAGATACTTTTAAAATTTGAAGATGGTTTGTTTCGAGGTGCGGTATATACTATATCAGGTATTCTCCACAATTACCTTTTGATAAGGATATGATATATACTCTTTTATAAAGTAAGGAGCACATTTGCATTTATTCCGACAACACAATAAAAAATAATTCTGCCATAAAAGTATGTAAATGTTGATAAAAATGTAACTTACCTGGACTGTTCGTGTTTGTCATTTCAATTTATATAGGTTTTAAAAATGGCCATTTAAAAACATAACCATCCACAACGAACAATGTGTTCAGGTACACTAATTAAAATTTTAATTTATATTCCACAAATCAAAGTTTGACACAAGAACAATCATGTCTATTTTGAGTGCATTTATTGGGTACACGGGTTTTTTAAAAGGTGCCTTCCTGGAATGCATACATTTTATAAAATGGTTTATACTTGAATGTAATTATTACTAATTATAACCAAAACAAACATGAATTTAAAAAACGGTGTGCAGGTTATCTTATTGATCTAATTTAAATTCTAGGTAATATTACACTATTTATGCTTGTTTGAAACTCATATTTTTGAATTTAAGAAGAAATTGGAAACAAATCATGTATCTCTTGTTGACAAATCAGATAAAGCACATATCAATTTAACTAAAATCAGGAATATTCATTATTCATATAACGGTTTCAAATAATGTTTATTACGATCATGTGAAATACGCACATACATGTATATATATATATATATATATACTGAGTGCGAATAGAACCGCAATCCCTACATGTATTGTCCCATTTAATACAAAATCTTGGGGTCTCTTATGATATTAATACAAAACAGTTAAACTTCTCAACTGGTATAGTAAGATGTATCAAAATGTTTTAAGAATGCATTGAATGACAATTTTTCATCGTTGGTTAAAAAGGGATCAAAGGGGTCTTAGAATATCATCTGTTGAATTTCTATCTAGGCACTCTGTACATGTACAAAACAATAAAAAGCACATAAATACCAAAGTACCTGAATGTAACAATCATATCGGCATTAAGTACATGTGTACAATTAACACGAACAGTCACTTTAGACGACACTATATTGTCAGTACAGTACCGGTGAAATAGATAGGTGGCACCATCTGCGAGATGAATGCCATTGGTAAAAATCACTATTCTGATGACTTATCTTCGGGTTTGTCTCTCTTAATTTTTTTCTGTATTCCAATTTTTGTAAACACCTTTCCCATCTGCAGTATACTGAAGTTATTGGCATCTGTCCTAGTATGCGCTTATTGCCGCTGAAAAAGCTCCATGAGACGGAAAATGTGAGGATGGCCCGCTTTAACATATTTCTTTATCTTGGAATGCCAACCTTCTATATATTTGTAGGACTCAAATCTATGGTGGGTTCCAAATCTATGGCAGATTCCTAATCTATGGTAAATATGACGTCATGCCATTTCAAATCTATGGCAGATTTGTTTAGACCCTAATCTATGGCAGATTTTTTTAGACCCTAATCTATGGCAAGTTTTGTAATTTCCTAATCTATGGCGGATTTTGTGCAAAAAGAAAACAATGCAGTACGTATACGATCAATGACTTGTCTTAAACAAGTGGAAATATACGACAATGGGAGGAGGTCTATAAACATTTGTGAAATAATATGCCCTGTAAAAATAAGCATTTTCTAATCTGTGCATGTTACCTAATTAACCCATTCATTAAACCAACTTGTAAGCCCTTAACACACAAGAAAGCAGTTTTTTATAAAAAAATTAAAAAAATTCAAATAATATTTATTTCATCGTTTATCCATCTTTTTTATTTGATGACGATTTAAATAAAATTGTTATCCGGTGATTTTATCTTTCACTTTATAAACTTTGCCAGCCGTAGACGCTTAAATATTTACTGGAACTCCTTTTCTAAAATATCCAGTACTGAAACATTGGTGCCCTTATTCATCGCGGGATTCGGCCTTTACAGCACATTTGGTCCCTCTTCCGGATAATAGGTCACATCTTCCTATAAATCATCCGCCATTATTGTCGAGGGAAATACCTTCATCTGGAATAGTGTTCAAATATATGGGTTCCGCCTTCGTTAGCAGCGGCGACGATGTAATATCCGGTATGACGCTATTCAATTGTGACGTTATATGTTACTCTTTTTTCCGGAAAATTACGCAATTTCAAGATCTGCCATAGATTTGGAGAAAACAAAAATTAGCCATAGATTTGAGTTGTTTGGCGTTTGTAACGTCATATTTACCATAGATTAAGAATCTGCCATAGATTTGGAACCCGCCATAGATTTGAGTCCTGCATATTTATTGGTCCTTTTCTTCTGTAGTGGGTCTACAACCTTCTAACCGGTAATCACTTACATCGTCATTGATCCTGCTGGTATCGATATTAATTAACAAAAAATGAAATTTAATTAAAAGTGTTTTTTCTTGCAAACCAGTGTATCTGGAGGCCTAGATAACCAATTATGGCCCGTAAACAGATGAAAAACATCCATATTGGATCTAAAACTGGAAAATTTGATTTCTACCACCCTCTATATTAACTCATACCATGCTGATTTTTTTTCAGAAAATGTCTAGTTTTCCTTTATTTGCCAAAAAATGCAATAATATGCAAATGAGCTATACCCTGCTGCTGATGCATAATGATGCCAATAAAACCCATGATAGGAGATCACGGTCGGGGCGGGTGGCACGAGGCCTTTATTTGCCAAAAAATGCAATAATATGCAAATGAGCTATACCCTGCTGCTGATGCATAATGATGCCAATTAAACCCAAGATAGGAGATCACGGGCGGGGCGGGTGGCACGAGGAGGCGGGTAGGGTGGACGTACATGTAATGCTACCTAATAGTTGGTCATCAGGTGCAAAGAGCGTCAATTTTGACGATTTGTGTTCTATTTCTTTACCTGGAAGACCGAGGGATTCTGATAGATGTCTGCATGTAGAGTGGACCCCCGTGAACACATTTACGACAAAAGTGCTGAATTGTGAGTGAACCTTATCTACGTATGGTAGTCTAAAGAAGGTCATTTCAATCAAAAAATCGGAATTTTTCTATTTTTTCCGATTTTTTACTTCACCTGGACCTGCGACCGGAAGGAGTCGTTTTATTAGCCTATTTCAATAATAAACTCAATCAGTAGTTATATGCTCGCGGGTTCATCCTATTTTTTGAACTTTGAGGCCTCTGTACTGCGTGTCCAAACACAGAAGGGAAGCTCTACCCTCCAAAAAAAAAACAGTTTTATCAGATTTCAATTTTCGAAGTTCGTTTTGGGGCTCAAACCTGAAAAAAAAAACATGACAATAAATAGCGTTAGGTTGAGGGAACATGCATCAATTTCGATATACATACAATACAGTTGACCTTTAATAGTGTGAAGAGCCATTGTGGCCCCACGTGGTAAGGGTTACGATTAACGTTTTTGTAGTTTTTCTAGTCCATGAAACCAGGCATTCTCAACTTCTTTTACTTGCACCGTTGGTAGCACCGAAGCATGTCGTGCAGGAAATGAATGTCTGCTTTGCCTTTTTTACTGTATCGTATTTGAAGGTCATATATTTGTGTCTTTCTACAGATGTATTTGCGATTTTTAAAAATTAATTAAAAAAAAACAATATTACAAACAAATTTCAAGTGGTTGTTTTCAGTTTATTTCAGACAAAAATAATTATTTGTAGGTACACAACTTTAAGGTTTTACACTATTTTCTCTATAACTACATTGCAATTTATTTAATCGTTCATTTGTTATAATTTTAAAATTAACAACGTCTTTTTAATTTATTTTTGTAAGTATATAAATAATTCTTAATATAATTCTTAATAAATATACCGAACGTTTTTAGTTCTGAATATAGAACAAAATGTGTTCAATACCACGGGTAGTAACGTCGTCATATCGATGAACGTTTAGTACAGTGATTTTGTCATAGTTTGGTTAAGTTGGACATGATTGTGTTAAGTGTTTTTATTGACAAACAATGACACAATATAAACATTCGGATTTCTTGCTAAAGGAACTTGGACATAAATTCAAGCTGGTAAGTATATATAGCTATAGCTAATATGTTAGTACATTAAAATTCATATTATATAGTTAATAATTTGACACAGAATACAGCTTGCGTATGTCAAAATTTAAAAGTTGTTATTCGTTTCTTATGCATAAAGAAAAGTGATTTGTTTACTGTCTATTGCATCACATATTTCGTTACGATATAAACCTGCCGTCAATTATTCCGAAAAAAAGCTACATTTGAACACAATATAAGATTACTGAAAATTCGGTGTCATGGTTTGGTTCAGTAGTGTCATGGTTTAGTTCAAGTTCGACATGTTTCAGTTCTGTGATTCCTGTCGAGTATGATGGAAGAGTAACAATCAAAATAAACAGCATTATGTACAACTATTGAAATACTGTTAAGAAACATATTTTCGCTGATACTTTTTTTTCCGCGTTTAACCCATTCTATCCTGTTTTGAGGCAAAATATTATCGCCATTTCCTTATGTTGTTGTTTTGTTCCCATACGAGTAGATCTGAGTTTCACATATTAAAGTTGATCTTCTACTCGCGAAAATGTATAGCTCGAGAAAATAAGTCGTCTACGGTAAATTTAAGATATTTTCAATATAGTTATCATAATCATAGAACACGCATGTATAAAGAGATCACGAGGTTAATATATTACTGCATTTCAATAGCAATTTTCCTTAAAAGTAGTTTTATTCGGAATACAAAAGGACCTAAGAAAGCACACAGTAATATATAGTAAGTAGATGCGGTATGATTTCCAATGAGACAACTATCCACCCGAGACCAAATGACGTAAATGTTAGTTCACCGCACGGCCTTCCAAAATGAACAAAACCCATACCTCTTAGCAAGCAATTAAAGGCTCCGACAAAATTAAACGTAAAGCAATTCAAATGAGAAAACCAACGGCCTGATTTATGTTCAAAACAATAAGCGAAAAACAAATATGATATACAGTAACTTACGACAGCTACTGCATTACAGATTTTCTTTACTTAGGGACATACAGAATATGGCGTGGTTTAAATGTTTGCGGCCTCCCAACCCTCCGCTTGGCTTGGGCAGTAGTATAACAGCACAACAAACTATAAAAATCAGTTGAAAAGGACTTGACTCATCAGATCGATACAAAGCAAAATAATCAAGTCACATAAACGCCTTAGACACAAAGAACCGATCTGTGAGTATTTGCATTTACTGGAATTTCCAAGCCAATAACAACTAATAAAAAAATAATAAATCCAAGACAAAAAGTTTGTTCTTTTTTTTTATGTCAGAATGAAATTTTGCTGCCAATATTCATCTTCATCCATCTTATTCTCTGTGATTTCTCGTCTAGTCGGGTCAAAAACTTGGCCG